TAATTTTATTTTACCTTACTTATTTTGACATTGGTAAGCATGGTCCTTAATTACATCTTTGTAATTAAGGCGTTTTTGTAATTATTGAAAATCGAGAATATAGTAAAAACAATTGTTTACATTTTAAAACACTTACCTGTAATCTAACGCAAATAATAGATCTAATTTTGAACGTTAAAACCTTTAATTTTTTTTTTTTTTTTTTTGATTGGACAATTCACACCAATTGACCTAGTCCCATGCTAAGCTGGTGAAGCTTGTGTTATGGGTACTAGGCAACGGATATACATACATATTATAGATAGATAGACATATAAATACATATTTAAACACCCAAGACCTAAGCACAACACCAAATGCTCATCACATCGATGTTTGTCTCAGCCGGGGATCGAACCCGGGACCCATGGATTCGCAGTCAGGGGTACTAACCACTAGACCAATGAGCCGTCGAATTTTATGTAAATTTGTCTAATCAATGAAGGCTTTAAAGGTCTTATAATATTAGTTTAACTCGACAAGGTGTTTAGTTAATATACAATAGTTTAAATATAAATTTATATACGTACACAGTTTTCTCCTAATTTCAAATTTACATAAGTTGGAACTTATTCTTCGGTCACACGGTATAAGAACCAATATTTAATGTCACAAGGAATGATGGGCGTAAACAAATGGAACAAAAACACTTGCGTTCGTCTAATGACATAGATTAGAACTGGTTATCGAGTGACCAATCGATAAGAAATGCGAATTTATCAAGTACATTTCTGAGGTGCAGGTGAATTCTTCAAGACTATATACGTATAGTTTTGATATATGTCAAAGGAGTAGGAGCGTACCAATTCTTAAAAGACCGGCAACGCGCTTGCGAGCCTTCTGGCAATGTGAGTGTCCATGAGCAATTAACATCAGGGGCCTCCTGCCCGTTTGCTTCCTGCCCGTTTGCCTCCTGTTACATAAAACCCCGCCTTGTTTGAAAGTACAATTAAAAATAAAACAACTGGCGGATTATCGTTTTCGAGCGATCTCTTTCAGGCAACCTCTGTGAGATTTTTATTTTATTTATTTATTTATACAGAACTAGACAGACGTTTGGCCACAATCCAACTAATGTTACAGCGAGATGTGGCCTATTTAACGCCTAGGGAATGGAGGTGCCAAGGAGTTCCACTCGGGTGAGCGCAAGAAGTGCAAAACTACATAAGATATACAATTACATAGACAAAACTAATGGAACAATTAAAACACATATAAACAGTGGAAGGGACAATAAAAACGAAGACGTACAAACTTTGCGTACACATGTCAGAAGTGAAACTTCTTTGGCAAACTAATTTTGATGTCTTGTTCATATTTATACAAATCTAAAACTTTAGATTTCCGAGACTTAGAGGGAGGGAAAAAGGAAGATATAGTTAGGAATGTAATGAATTTAATTGTCAATTAAAATATTAAAAGTGTGGAAAACTAATACAAATAAGTAATAAATTTATTTCTTCGATAATAAAAACACGTGGCATTTTAATTTACAATTCGTCATTTGAGTGAAATTTCAAATTAAATTATTTTGCATAAAATATAAAATACTAATATTTCATAAATTCTCTTTACGAAATTTTAATTTTAAAAATAGAATTTCTATAAGGTAATTCGCCCTTCTCACTCTCTTTCAATAGCTCTCCCCTTTTTACGTTTACGTAACTTTGTAACGTTTTTAAAAATTTTAACCTCATGCGCTCAAAGAAGTTTCACTTCAAAAAGGGCATATGAATCACGATAATTTCAGATCAGTTAGTACGAAGGTTTCAGCTTATCCATTCAATATGTGGATAGTTTTATCCACCTCCATCCCAGCTACCGTGGGATTTGGTTCCTTCCTCCAATATGAGATTTCAATATGCGTGTTCGATACAACTTAAAAAAAAATTAAATAATAAATTACAATTATATATTTTCTCTTATTGGTGTGGAAATAGAATTAAGGTATAAATTAATATTCCTTTCGTATTCTAGTTTAGCAAACAGGATGCGTCCGCGCATAACATAACTGGCTGATGACCTTGTACGGTGCTCTAGTATTCACTTGTCACATATAGGGTGTATTATATTACTCATATAACAGAGAATTTAAGTCTAAAATGTTATATCAGAAGAACATAACATTTCTTTAAAAATTTCTGTATTTTAAATAAGTTTTTTACTTGGTAATTCATTCATAGCACTTTTCCTAGTGGCTTCAGCGTGCGACTCTCATTCCTCGTCGTAGGTTCGATCCCCTTCCGATGACCTTTCTGTCTATTTGCTTATTTATCATTCGCACGAACGGTGAAGGAAAGCTTCGTGAGGAAACCGAGCATGCCCAAGGCTCAAAAATTCGACGTTATTTCACGCACATAAGTTTGATCACCTTGACTATTAGAAGTGATTAAGTGAAATCTGAGGCCCGGACCTAAAGGGTTTGCAAGCCAGGATGGCTGGTTTGTGTAAGCCTCTACGTCACTACGTAGATTACAAAAAAAAAATAAACAAATATCATTGTAAATCGTATACCAATTTTGTAATCGAGGTGACGTCGGTAGGAATAGTCCCCACGACTTGAGGTCGTTTCAATGTCCTCACTTCTCGTGACCTTCAATACAATACGAACACGTACTTTTGTATAGTCTAGACTATTGAGACGCTTTTACGACGTAATTATTAACAAAACTATACAATTGAACTTTTCGTAAGGATAAAATGTTGGCTTTGTGTTTTATAGTCAAGAACTAAAATTATGTCTTAAAAAGCGCTTTGTGTCTTTACAACTTTTGTAGTAAACTATATCTACAGATTATACCGCAGTGTTGGCAAGGTGGTATCAGCGTGCGATACTTTGGACTTTCTTTCAATGTGCGCATTTAACATTCGCTCGAACGGTGAAGGTAAACGTCGTGAGGAAACCAGCTTGCCCTAGACCCAAAAAGTGGACGGCGTGTGTCAGGCACAGGAGGCTGATCACCTACTTGCCTATTAAACTGACAAATGATCATGAAACAGACACAGACCTATAAAGGTTTTGATTAATTTTTATACAAATTATATAAAAAATCGTCGCATTGGAGTTGTCCTCGTATTGACATATATGTATACGATACAGTGGCGTAACAATAGGGTGGCAGGGCTGGCGAAATGCCACAGGCCCCCGACCCAAGAGATATTATGTTCTATGGATGAATGTGAAGTCTCCAATACGCATTGGGCTAGCGTGGGGACTACAGACCATTGCCTCTAGCCTAAGAGAGGAGGCTAATGGCCATTAGTGGGACTTATACAATGTGTAATTGAGTACACTGAAACTCTCGAAGTTTATTAAAATTAAACTGAGTACAACGAGACGATTTTTACTGATAGGGCATCAAAAGAATTTGCCACGGGCCCCAGATGGTATAGTTACGCCACAGATCGATACATGTATACAGATTGTAATGCTAAACATATGTTCTTAAATATATAACTAATCTATAATTAATAAGTTCTCTTCATAAAAAGTACAAAAATACTCGAATTATGTATTATATTTTAGTATGTATTACGAACAGTACCTTTTAATTATTTACTTTATCACTAGAACAGGAAACACCATGATATTAATGGTTATAAGTTTACCTTGAGTTTATATCCGATCGAAAAAACGTGTGTGACAACATGAATAGTTTAAAAATGTATTATTTACTAGAAGCCCAAGTCGCATTACAAAGTAAAACAATTTGATTTAGACTGCTCATTTAAAGATTTCTTTGAGATTGTATTAACTCAAATGTACATATTTTGTTGACCGTGCAATTATTATTTTTATAAAAGTAATAATTGCGCCGTTTTTATTAAATTACTTTCAGCGCAAAATAATTGAAAGAGCAGTCAGTATTCTAGTTAAAAGTGGAATTAGATAGTATGAAATATGAATAATAATAAAAGTAAAATTTTCTAAAAAATAAGAACTTACCTCGTACTATATTAAATTATTACTCAGGGTACAGACGTAAATAGCTAAAGTATTATGTCAGTAAATGTAGGTTTGTTTAAATAAACAGTCAATGATACTTTTATATGCTGACCGATTGACCTAGTAACGGAAAAAGCACGTAAGCATTCCAGTTGTAAATTGGATAAAGTACTTTGTGTGTCGACAAAGTGATGCGAAACAGTTGTAATATGTCAGTAAATATTTTTCTTATTAAATATTTACTTTAATTTATAATGTACAAAAATAACATTTGTTAAAAAATCAGCATGATAGAAAAAATAAAAAAGAAAGAAGCATCCCTGGTGGGGATCGAACCCACGACCTTTGGATTAGAAGTCCAACGCGCTATCCTCTGCGCCACAGGGACTACATTTGCCTTGTTGAAATTATCTATCATATTCCACTAACATTTGCAAACATTTTGAAACTACGTATTATTATTTTAGATATTTGATTAAAGGGTTCTCTGCCAAAGGGAACACAAATTTTTTAAATTATTTTTATGTGCTCGTTTCACGATAAATAAATTAACACGGAAATATTTGTGTAGCAAATTTACTACATACATATAGCATCAAACAAGTTCTATCCAATACTTGACCTCAGATCGATTTGATAAGAAATGGAATTTTAATAGCTATTAACCGTAACGCATTGTTTATGATATTTTTTAAATATTGTAATCATTTAAAGCGTACAAACAAGTTTATTGAAATTAAGCAATTTGATTTACATTTAAAATATGTTAATTATTTTGTGAACAGAACACACGTGCAACAGAGCGAATAACGCGTTCGATTCCCGTCAAATAATAATTATTTCGAGCGGGTAATACCTTAATCTATTTACGCAATAGTAAACCAGTTGATTAAAATAGCTATAACTTATCTTATAAGATATTTCTTTATCTGTATTTTATCATATCAACCAAAATATCGTTTAGAATCGAAGATAGGACATTCAGTGATTTACGTTTCGTCTCGACAGTCGTAAAATGCCGGTTACACAAAATTTCAATATAGAGGGAGTTGATAGAGAAAGAGATAGAGATCTCGTGTCACCAGTGCATGTCACTCTCCTTAATGTAGTAATTTCGATCACAAACTTGTGTCTCGGTGGCGTAACTTTGAGTGCGTTCTTTTTTATACACATATTTGTAACGTCTACATCTCTCAAGCAACATGTGTATTTGTGTGTTATCGGTGTAAGTATTTTGTGAGAATAAGTATCTCTTTCTGTATTATGTAGATGATGCCCACGAATGAGAATTTACGTATTTATAAAGGTCGTCCAGTGAACATACAATTCATAGTAGTGAGTGAAGCCATTTATAAGCTAGTCAAATCAGCCTTGCGATTCTCTAACTCACTTTTCGAACTCTCACAGTGGTTTTCGCAGCGGCGGTCGCGCTCAAATCAGTCGTGAAGCAGTTATTTTACGATTTGGCATTCTGATTAGGAGGGAGCTTGTAGTTTATTGTTTACTGTACTTTGAGTTAGTTTTCTGAATGAGGAGGTGATCTCGACGTGATATCGACGGATGACCTTAACCACCATATATTTAAATAAGCAATGGCACTAGAAACTACAACCCTTGGTCTCAGATTTCTGTATTTATTTCGTGATCCATTTCTCTTTCTACTGTACCCATTAGTAGACCGAATTATAATTTTGTCTTAAATAAAAAATATATTCCAGTACGTTATAATAATGACACAAGCAGTTCATTCACTGAACCCACATGCTGGTTGGGCTCGGATGGTGAAATATGAGAATCGAAGAATGGTACACTGGACTCTACAAATCGTTGGCACAATTCTTGTATCAATTGGCAGTATTATTCGGATGGCGAATGTCAATACCAATTTTAATTCTACTCATGGTATTCTTGGTGAGTTTTCTTTTATAGAAGAGAGGGCAAACCTCTGGCAACTTGAAGAGAGCGTTCAAGTATAACGTCACGCAATTTTTGGAGATTATTGACCCCCCATGTAACGCGCCATAACGATTTTCTGTACCCACTAGTAAAACGTTTCGTGACCACCTAGTGACTCTTTATACCTCAAAGTTACCATTACGTGGTGTAAAGTACTGGAAAGTCGAAAATAATATTAACAATAACGCGTAATTCAATCCCCGGCCCGCATCGTAACGTTTCACAAAAGGGGTCCTCCCAAAATTCGTTACGTAATACTTAAACGCTCCCAAACGCTGTGCGCCTGGTAGAGGGTGCCCATGGACAGGGTTCCTACGGCTGCTATAGGAGGCATGCGAGTGCATCGCACCTGGATTCACTTAGTGGTGGTAGTCAGCAAAAAGTGAGTTAATAAATACTCAGTGGAAGGATGGACAACATGATATGCGTGATATGAATGAATGATATGAATGATGAAACTTAACTACAGCTAAACCAAACAGCTTCTTGTATTTTTTAATGAAAATAATCTTCTTTTATATCACATCTCTTACTACAATACCGATAGTATCGAAATGATAATGCTTCTCTTACAATATTCAACATTATTAATACCAATCGATTCAATACTTGAAGTGCCAACGTAAATACGATTTCGGGTGGAAGTTTTCATTGGAAACTCTGTACAAAATATAATGTCTCTGCAGTTAATGGTTCTATATACGTGTATAACTTCCAGTTTTGTTTTGTGTTAAAAGCAATAGCAGTCTGGACTATAAAGAAGGAATCAATGAAATTAACAGGCTTTTTCTTACAGGCATCGTCGCATTCCTCTGCACAATACTCACCATGATAGGAGGGGTTGTCAACGCCAACTCAAGCCGTCTTAACATCAATAAGACCTTTTTGACTCTAGCTCATTCCTGTCTTGGATCCTTGACTTTATGTTCTGCATTTCTTTCCTTATGTTTTGCATTTAATTCAATGATGTATAGAGTCGTTTTGGGCGATAAAAGTGCTGATTTCGGAATAGCTTTGTCTGTTGTTGCGTTAGTTGGTACTTTAGTGTCACCCAGTTTAGATTTCGTCAAACGAATATTTCATAGTAGATAGATGAATATTAGCAACTGAATATAAATCTACTTTATTATTTATTTCGTTATATAATTTAATTAAAAGAGTGCGTGCGTACAAAGTACACATGTTAGGAGTGAAACTTCTTTGGCAAACTAATTTTATGTCTTGCTCATATTTATACAAATCTAAAACTTTAGATTTCCGAGACTTAGAGGGAGGGAAAAGGGAAGATAATATGTTGTTTTATTAATGAATTTAATTGTAATTAAAATATTAAAAGTGTCGAAAACAAATTTTAATTTACAATGCGTCATTTGAGATTTCAATAAATTATTTTACATAAAATATAAAATACTAATATTTCATATATTATTTTTACGAAATTTTAATTTTAAAAATAGAATTACTACTATAAGTATCGGTCCCAAAGTTCTGTCATAAATGGAAATAATCATAAAAACAAAAGTACTGATCAGTTTTTAATGAGTGATATATCAATTCATAGTACATTAATTAAGGAATAGAAATAGCATAAACTTATTCGAAATGACCTCCCTTATTTTTAATACAGGCCCTTAAGCCCCGAGTCGTCTATCGCAGCACGCACCATATTCATGTCGATTTCAGTGACTGAGTTTTTTAAAGACGACTCAGACTCTCAAATTTTTGGGGTGTATCACAGACCTTCCTCTCTAAGACCTGCTAAAATTTATAGTCCAAAGGATTAAGGTCCGACTGAGGAAGGCCAATCCTCATGTCTAATTAAATCGATGTTTTGACGCTCAAACCAGGCTTTAGTGGTCTTGGCTTTGTGTGCAGGCTCAGAGTACTGCTGGAAACAAGTGATGTCCCGCAAATAGGGTGCTGGACAGGTCTTTGACAAGGCGATCCAAAACCGTCTCTCGGTACACTTTAGCTCTGGTTTCCCCTGACCCCCTTTGCAAAAATGAACCTCAGTTAGCCCGTAATAGGACACTCCCAACCAGACCATTACTGATGATGGATGATGTCCATGTTGTACCCTTGGAACTTTATTTTTAGCTTCTTCAGAACTCCTAGCGTACACTGTATCAATCTGTTTATTGTACTTCTCTTCTTATCGAAATTTTTTTCGTCCTAGAGGATATCACGGTGTCGGTTTTTCGCTACCCTTAAACAACACCCGCGATCTCTTAAGCCTTTTCTTTTAGACGAGCATTAAGTAAGTTCCCACTTTTTTTGTATGCTCTAACCAAGATCTTCATTTAAAACCTTTTTTATTGTTTTCCTACTACAACCATCTGCAAAGCCATCAACTTCTGTTTTCGGACAGAATTTCTTACTATCCGCGCTTTGATAGCTTTGATTACTGCTGGTGTTCTTGCGGAGCGTGGCCGGCCAGTTATTTTCTTGTCCTCAACACTGAGACTTCAAGGTACCTATCATAGTACCGTACACAAACCTAGCGTTATATTAAAATTTTTGAGCAACTTGAAAATGGTACTCGGCGAGTGCCCACAGCGGTGCAACACAATAACAACTATTCGGTCTTCTTTCAATGTCCACTCCGTCGTGAAAACTTACTGAAAGTTATTGTTTTTTATTTTAAAACAATGTCAAACATTCCAAAATAGAATGCAATAACTTTTTATAAAATCCTGCTCGAAATATAGAAATAATGTGCCAGTGACAGAACTTTGGGACCAACTACGTAAGTTAATTCGCCCTTCTCAATCTCTCTCAAATCTCAATCGGTCTCAATCGGTCTCTCCCTTTTCTTCGACAAAAACGCTGCACATCTTCGTGATTTTTCATCCGTAAAAATTGTACCCTCATGCGTCTAAAGAAGTTTCACTTCAAATAGATATGTAGTGGAAAAGCTCTTAACAAAGCAGCTATTAAAGTTAAAATCTTCTTAATAACACCATTGTCATCAGTTTAAAGCTCTCTTAAAGTAATCTGTGAATACCATTTCTAAACGATGGTAGTCAAGAGATTCACCACAAAAATGACATTTTGTTCCCCAGTGAATATTAAATTTTTAATTAGTCACTTTAGTCTTTATCGTATGATTTAATTACAAATCATTATTTTTAAAGACGATAAGCGATGACACATTAAAACTAATCGGAAAATAAATTTTATTATCTTTATCACAGACTTTTCTGTGTTTTTGAAATAGGTATACATTTTAAAAAAATCGATATTAAAGAAGCTGTAAAAGTATGTTATTATATTTAATATTAGTAGTTAGTACATACACAACCTCCGACGGACTGAAAGCTTCCTCCGAAATCTTAGATTTGTCTCTCATCTTCGCTTCTATTTACCAATCATTGGATATTGTTTCTATGATTATAATAATTAAGACAAGATATTTAGTCTTAAATAATAATTATTATTATTGTTAAACATAATAAAATCAAGTATTTTTTGTCTACACAGTATGCCATTATTTTAGTACTTGAGACAGAGGATAAAATTATTTTACAATGGAAAAACAAAATAATTGTTACTTTAAAAGTATTATTAATGTATGTGATTTACATTGAAACCAATATTATTCAAGGCTGTATATTTGTGACGCATCTTCCAAGATTTTAGCAGGCAGATGTCGCCACTATAGCTTAATATTCCTATTATAGGTGCTCTAGATTGTAATAGGAAAAGAAATGTCAGCTTATTATTAGTTATTTAATGTACTTAACAATAACTAGCCGTGTTATGACTATATGTTGGAAGACCTCAGGTTAACAATAAATATATTATATTGAATATTGTGAATTATTTTTAAATAATTTCTGAGGTTTGGAAACTTTATTATTGCTTCTATTAGTTAGTATTTTGTGTAAAGCACTCGACACGTTTTTATAAATTATAGAACAGGGGGCAAACGGGCAGGAGGCTCACCTGATGTTAAGTGATACCACCGCCCATGGACACTCTCAATGCCAGAGGGCTCGCGAGTGCGTTGCCCGTCTTTTAACAATTAGTACGCTCTTTTCTTAAAGGACCGTAAGTCGAATTGGTTCAATATCAGGCAGCTGGTTCATATAGCGTGGTACGCGTACATAATGTAATAATTTTGTTTATTATTAATTTTGTGATATACTTAAAAACCCAACACAATAATAAATAAAAATAAATATTCCTGGTGTTATCATTTAATTTTATATAATTTTTGTTCAGATTTTAATATTTTTTTCGGTACCACACAATTGTATAATATAATTAAGTAATTAATTAAGTTTGTATAACTTAGTAACTTAGTACATAGTTACAGTTCTAATTTTATCGTTAAGTTCAAGGTTAAGTAAGCCATGTAAGTGAAATCGTTTAAACGAACGTTTGTATGTAAGATTATAATGATACTCAAATAAACTGTGCTCGGTTATTATTTTATTTGTGGCGTTAGTGCTAATTGTTTATTTCTTGAAATACATTAAAAATAATCTATAGTAATTTCTACGAAATAATGTTGAATAATTTTGACAAAAACATTAGAATTAAGATAAGAACATACGAGTTATAAGTTCAATATAATAAATTAATACTCTCTGTTTCTGATTGGAGAATTATCAAGCATAAATAAAAGCAAGTGGATGGTCTTCTTGCCTATAAAGTAAAATAATCACATATATAGGTTGACAATAGGTCTACAAGTACACCTCCCCATTCTTTCCATTATAGTTAAAAGTTTATTTCAGCGCAATGAATATGTTAAACATAATATCGCGTTTTATTTAAAACTCTATGTACAGGGAAAGTGATACCTTTGATGTGCGCTCTACGTGGATTAATTAAAGAGTGAAACTCAGCAAATAAAACAATAGGTCTTAGTCATAACTGTGCATTCAAATTACTCACCATAATAAAATAAAACTATGCGAAAATAACACTGCACAGTTACTTGTTTTTTGTCACTGAAATGTTGATTCGGTTACCATGGAAACGCAATATGGCGGCCGGCGGACATGCGCGCTTCAAGTCGAACGCGGACAGACTGCCGGTTTCGCGCCAACTGAGTACCAATATTATGGTCAGTCAATTTCTTCGATCGTAAATAAACGATTCATACAACAACTCCAAGTGTAGCATTGTGATGGTGATCACCACACAGGTTTATTGTTTGTGGGAGTGTGTTAAAAGAGTTTATGTACTTCACGAAAAGGGTTCCATGTTCCTCGATGTTTTTTTAACATAAATAGATATATTTTGCCCAAGTCATTAAATCAGAACGATAAAATCGAAGATCGGTTTTGTGTCAAACCTTAAGCAATCGTACGACACGTATAAATTCGGGAACCAATATAGTCAATGTGCCAAGTAAAGAAAATATCGCGAGGAAACTGACATAAGTATCTTAAATGTGTCATTAACAAACCCGCACTTGAACAGCGTGGTTAATTTTGACCTTACATCTGTCAAAGAACATTATAATGACATCATTACATACGATTTAAAAAGTATACAATAATTATTCAAAACAAGCAGCATTGTTTGAAGAAATTATGTTATTTGTTACACTAACGCATAACATCGTCCCCCAAGTCGTTAGTCTTCTTCCGTGTGGTCCTACGAAAAGGAGTCATGGATTTCACCGTGGTCTTGTGCCGTATTATTTGATTCAATAATATGTTACCGACTCATGTTTTACACATTAATATCGTCTATAATTTTTTAATATCCATATTTCAATGACCTAAAACTTTTTGGCCCCAATTCAGTACCCGATAGCAATACATAATAATTATAACGAAGGGCGTGATGTGTCCTAATTTCCCTGCTAATTCAATTATTATACTCGTGCTTAGAAAGGCAATGAAACAACTAATGCTTCGTGTTGCAAAAGGGCTACCAGGCAAATGTTTCGCGTCTTGAATTAACAAAAACAAATCTAATCAGGTCGGGTAGGTAGGGTAAAACGGTAGGTGATGGTAAAAGTTTTACGGATGAAACGCAATAATAATAATATTAGCGTCACGAATATGTGCAGCGTTTTTGTCGAAAGGGAGAGAGCGATTGAGACCGATTTTAAGACAGTGAGAAGGGTGAAT